AGGGGCCTGAATAATGACCTATACTACTTGGGGGGTTGCTTGTTATAATCGTGGTATAGTATACCCCAAAACCCTATTCTAAATTATTAAGGCCCCTACATTAAGTGGGGTTCTTCTTTCAAAAAGCCAGGCATTCTTCTTTTGCTGCTCCGAGGCCCCGGGAGAAGCCCCAGTCTGCACAACTCCTACCGTCCCCTGGTCTTCAGAAGCTTCGCGGCTCTTCGGTTTGGGCTTTAGGACTTCGGGCTACTTAGGGCTTAGAGTTTAGGGTTTAGGGCTTAGGGCTACAGGGCTACAGGGCTTGGGGTTAAGGGTTGAGGCCGGGTGTGGAGCTGAGTTGAAATTTGGGTTCGGGGCTCCACGACCACTCTTCGCAGACCAGGGAAACGAACGAATTCCGGCGCCGGTTCCACATGGACCGAAAATCCGAGAAGGTCCACAGGTACGGGGCCAACCTGTTAACCCAGTACCCAGCCTAAGGCATTTCATCCTCCGATTCGTCCAGATACTCATCGTCGTCGGTCTCGTCCAGATCCGCCTGGCGCTGGAACATGGACCTTGCACCCTAACTCACCTGTCTCCTTCCACCCGTCGGAGATGCAGTGGTAGAAGCAGCGGCCCAGCATGTCATGTGACTAGCTGCAGCAATAGCGGCCGGCAGCAGTAGCAATAGCGGTGGCAGCAGCAGTAGCAGTAGAAGTAGCCGTAGCCGTAGACGTAGCAGCAGCAGTAGCCGTAGCAGTAGAAACCATTGTACAAGTAGCAGAAGTAGTTGTAGCAGAAGGCAGGAAGAAGGATGCGAATCAGCGGCAACAGCCACAGCAACAACAGCAACAACAGCTACCACAACCACAACTGCGCCCATGACGATATCACCATCAAGCTTTCCCAAACCACTACCATGAGCTCAAGAGCCGTGACATCTATGACTCTGAAATGTGCTTTGGGGCTCCCGAAAACCTGACAACTGCTTTGCCGCGTCTGCGAAAGACCCGCGCGCCGTCAGCTGCGACAGCTGCTGCCACTGCATCTGCCAGGAATAAGGGGATGCATGTGAGCAAACTCGAGATAATATAGGGGCCCTAATATTTAGAATAGGGTTTTGGGGTATATTATACTATCATTATAAATAGGAACCCCGAGAATATTATAGGTAATTATTAAGGCCTCTATATTACTGATACACTTTCAGGTGACCAGCGTCCTTGAGGTCTCGGGCAGAACATAGGAGCTACTTGGAGGTTCATGGGTAGTTATAAGTGGGGTTATAAGTCCCCTAATATGGGTTATAATTATAGTTACCCTACTTACAACCCTACTTATATCTACCCATGAACCTCCAAGTATGAAGAAAGAGCAACTGAAGTTGATGCACGGCTCTTCCTTGGCCTGGTCTGGTCTGGAACCCCCGGTAGGCGGAAAAATCGGCCACCAAAACGCGCGGCTAGTTTCTGATGCGCAGTTTCTGATTCAAGGCCCAGTTTTCGATTTTGCAATGGATCTGGTCTGCAAGCTCTGTTGTTGGCACACATCGCATCTCAGAAAACTGTCCTTCCATTCCTTCCTCGTGTTGTGAGTCCGGAAATACACCAGCGGATTCCGGAGCTCTTGACATCTTACGGACAAAGTCTTTCTGGCCCCCTGCGGGCTTTATTATTCACTGCCTGTAGAATAGAGGGGCCTTAATAATTAGACTTGGGTTTTGGGGTCCAATATGCTATACTTCTGATAAGGAAGCCCCAAAACTTATTTAGAGCCCTAGACCCTAAACCCTCAACCCTACATTAGGAAACGGGCTCTGCCTCCGTCTCGGCATCCCAGGACCGCCGAACCTGAGGTTCCGACCCCAAGGGAGAAATCGAAGGAGTCTTACCTCTGATCATGCAACGATAGACAGTGAGATGTCATGATGCATTATAAACTAGAACATACCGATTAAGGATTAAGCCTCTCCATACATATATAACTATAAGTTCAATATATATATATATATATATATTATATTATAGTATATTATAGTATATTATATCTATGATATATGTATATGTATATATATATATACACACTTCAAACGCGGCGGACGCACTGGTGCGTCCGGTGGGCCGCTCAAGGCACTCGATTCACAGTGAAATGCCCTTGGGGCAGCTCGATACGCCCAGACCTTGGAACCTAAACCCTAAACCCTAAACCCTAAACCCTAAACCCTAAACCCTAAACCCTAAACCCAAAACCCAAAACCCAAACCTGTCTGGCCCAAGCCGAGCCTGCACTGCTGCTCCCAAAGACTTAGTTGAGAGGAATCCTAACAGCAGTGGTCAAAGTAAGAATAATGAGAACGGTAATAACAACAACAATGATAAGAATCAGAATAATAGAATCAGAATGGAAGTAGTAATAACAGTAAAAATAGTTGTAATAAAAACAGTACTACCAGTACTAATATTCAATAGCAATACTGAAATAGTAGTCGTCGTCGTCGTCGTA